AGCGCCCCCCCCCTCACTGCCCCACAGGGAGCTGCTGCAGGGGCAGGGGGGCAGCTGCCCCCCAGGAGGGGGAAGGGGGACCCGAGCAGCCCACAGCACACACAGGGGAGGCAGCACAGCCCCTGTGGCACTTTTAGGGTGGGGCCTAATGGTGGCTCAGTGCTGAGGAGACAGAGAGGGCAGCGCCAAGCGTGCCAGGTTTCAGCGTGGTTCGTGGCCCGTAGGCAAAGCCCCTTCCCCAGGAGACACAGGCAGAGCCGCCTCTGAGGCACAGTGGGGGGAAAAACAGCAGCAGCACCGCACCCTTGATCAGCACCTCCGTCCTGCGGCTGCCAGCGCCTGGTGGCCATGGCTGCTCCAGCTGCATGCGCCTCCTCCCAGCCCCTGCTGGGGCTCTTTCGGGGAAGGAAAGCCCCTGGCAGTTCCTCGCCCACCTGGCAAACTGCTAGCGAAAAAATGCATCCGGCATGTCGCTACCTGCCCTGGCACTGTAGAGTAGAGGAGTTTGTTACCAGGCCGCAGCTGGCTCGCAGCTCTGGAGCAGACCCATACCCGCCCCGGAGCCACGTCCCGAGCCCGGCACGGTCTGTGGGCGCACACCCTGCAGCACCCGTCCTGCCACCACCACGGCTGCACCCTGTGGGGTTCCTCGTTGCATGTGGGTGTAGGGGTTTATTTTTAGCTCACTTGATAAGGGGAAGAAGGAAGGGGGCAAGCAGGCAGTGACAGGAGCTGCCAGCAGCACTGTGACAGATGAGGACAAGAGGACCTGGGAGGCACTTACAGCTGCTCTGTGCCTGCTCCTCCTGCCCAGGGAGAAGCAGGGGGGGGGGTCTCTCGGTACACAGGGCTGCAAACACAGCCTGGCCTGCCCAGGCAGCTGCTGTTTGCTCAGAGGTGGAACTGTGGCACTAGTCAGTGTTTTTATGTAAATAAATAACAGACCCTGAACTCCGTGTGCATCTTTTCTTCTCCCCCTGCTCCAAATCCACAGCAGATCTGCCCTCAGGGGAGCTGAGGATGAGGAGGGAGGGTAGGGGGTGTGCCAGGCGCTGGAAGATCTGCAGTGGCCCTGGGGGGATAACAGGAGCTTTCTCTGCCCATCCCTCAGCTGCAGCCGGGGCTTCCCCAGCTCTGCCTCTCAGGCAGCCCCTCTCCTTGCGCCCCAATGCTCAGCTGAAGGGGATAAAATTCCCCCGAGACTGGCCTGGAGGAAGGCAGAGAGGTGCTTCTGCAGCCCAGCACAGCACCAGGAAGCAGAGAAGGGGCAGCTGTGTGCCCCAGAGCATCCCCTGCCGCTGGCGAAGCATTGCCTCTACCAGGGGAAAGCCCCAGGCTTTGACAGCGCCTGGCTGAGCCCTTCGAGCAGGGTCAGTGCGTCCCCCTCCCCACGGGAGCTGGGGGAAACCCCAGGGGGAGGCAGCAGGGACAGGGTGGGGTGTAAGGACAGGAGCGTCCTGAATCACTCCTGAAGGGGAGTGCATGAATCAGAGACAAGTACAACAGCAACAGAATCCGTACCCACTCCTCTTCACCCCCTGAGCCTCCTCCCCATCCTGCCGCCTCCTCCACGCAGCCCAACACCTCATGGCACCGTTCATGCATTCTCCCAGTGATGCACTCTTGGCTTTCCCCAGCTCCAGCATTGCAACTTTTTATTCCAGTCAAGGCTTCGGAAAGAAAACCCAAACAACCCCCACCCCCAACATAGCACAATACACATTTGCCACATTCGTACCTCCACACATGGTCCTGTCCCCACTCCCAGGGAGCTTCCTCCAACACCAGTCAGACTTGGTCCCTGGGACACTGCAACATGCAGGACGCTGCTTTGAGCTAACGGCCCCATGGCACAGCCACTGCAGGACGACCGAAACATCAGTTTCTCAGGGTAGGAAACCGAGTGCTCTTCAATGAAAAGGCTGATGACACATCCTCCGGTTGCAGCCCAGGGCAGGAAACTCCCTCCAGTGACTGGTCCCGGGAAGGAGATGAAAAGCCAAGCACGTGAAGCCTTTGCCAGTACAGGACAAGACATCTCTAGCCTTAAAATCTGCCCCAGCCCAGGTAAGGCAGTGCTGAAGTGGAATCCTCACACCAGATTGGTCCTGTACACTAGTCAGCTAAAGCCATTATATTACAGTGCTTGCATTATTGGTGTGCAAAGAGTCTTTGCCAGTCCCGCAGGATTCCCGTTTATTTTCTTACTTACTTCCACCCTGCGGTCAAACTCACCACCAACAGCGAGGGAACAGTTTGAAAAAGTACCAGGCGCGTCTCTCCCCTTGCCACCGTTGGGAGCCACGCGCCGCTTTTCCCATCACATGATGTACCACGCCGCAGCTCCTGCTGCCACAGCGACGCAGGCCGCCAGGATCAGCTGCACCAGGGGCTGCTTTACCAGGGCCACGGCAGCGTGATAGGGACAGCCGGGTGCTGCCTTGCCTGCTAGAACACAGAAAGCACCGTTAACGCTGCGAGTCTCGTGCCGTACGCATGTGGCAGCTCCGTCATTGCCCACAACCTACCTAGTTTGTCTGCATAGTAAGGGCATTTGCGTATGTCTCCTTTTCCGTCGTGGACTGGAAAGCCTCCGTCTTGGGCTTCTTCTGTCAGCGACCTGCCAATCTTGTCCAGTTCATCAAACACCTGCAAGTGGGCACAGTGAGTACGTGAAGCAGGCAGAGCCAGGCAGCTTTCATTCGGACCCCCAGAACGATCTGGAGAACAGGCACAAGCCACTCCTGCCCATCTGCCCCCCAAGAACAGCACGTATGACTCATTCCGGAGTGCTGTGCAGGCAGATGTGTGGTGACACCCAGCACATGCTACAGCTCTGAGAAGGCACAGCCCATTCCCAGAGCACCGAGTCAGACCCAGGAGCGAGAAAGGCGCAGCGCCACCCTTCTGTTCCCCTCCCAGTCTGCTGCAGGTGGGAGTACGAGGCAACGCGTTCTCCCCTCCCTGCTGCACACCCTCTCAGGGGGGTCACTGCTCTGGCAGCCCCTCCGGCTCCCTTGCCAGGGGTTTCTGTAAGGACCCTGACAAAGAAGCCAACCACATCCCACCATGTTTCTGGCCAGCTTAAACCACACCAACCTGCTACAGATTAAAGCTTCCATCCAGTAGCTAAAACTATGTTCATACCCTGGGTGCATGTGGCAGCTCGGTAAGGTTTCATGAAAGGCAAATACTATGGGAAGGAACAAGAGGCTACAGACAGTTTTGGCCATTGGGCAACATGTCAGACGTGAGACAGGAGATGAATCGTAACCGGTGTTGTGCAACATGCTCAAACTGTTTGCAGCTGTCTCTGAGCCAGAGCTCTGCTCCCTTCGCTGCTTCACAGCCCCACAGCCCACTGGAATCTTGTAATGAAGTCATCTTAATGTTTCCCTAATCAAAGGCCTGGCTGCGGTGTTGGAACACGGGAGGAATTCCTACCCGTGTCTCCAGAAGCTAGCAGAAGAGCTATTCAACCCAGAATCCCACCCCGGCCTGGAGGGGCTCTGGTGGTCTCAGACCCAAACCACTGCCTGGATGAGCAGTCTGACTGAATTAACCTGGGCCTCAGAGCTCATCCAGACCCAAAAGCAGCAGCACCTACACATACAGGGGCTCAAGGGATTTAGTACCTGCATGTTAAACCTGAAGGCTCGGTTGGCCTCTTCCACGATCCTTTCCTTGGTGTTCTTGTCCAAGTCCAGAGCATTCATCCTCGCTCTGTAGAGCTGCTTGAACTGTTGTGCATTGGAAATGTTCTCAAACATGTAGAATTGGATCCCTTCCTCAGTACTGGGCAACTTCAGGGCCCTCTGGGCTACCTTCTTCAGCACTTGGCCTCCTGAGAGGTCTCCCATGTAGCGTGTGTAAGCATGAGCCACTAGCAGCTCTGGCTCATTCTGTCCCACATGATGGATTCTGTCCACATAGTGCTGAGTTGCCTCTGAACACTGGATCTTCTGTTTCCAGTCTTCTCCATAGAAATATTTCAGGTCTTTGACCAATGCTTCTCTCCGGTGAAGCTCCAGGGGGAAATACAGAGGAGCAAACACTGGGTTGTCCTTGTTGTGATCCATTTCTTCTTCCAGAGCAGAGTAGGTGAAGTAAAGTGCCACTGTGGCCAGCTACGGACAAAGCACAGCTGAGGTGAGAAGCTATTCACTAGATCAGTACATCACACCTTGTAACTACTGCCCCCTGCACAGAGTTGGGATAAACAAAGAGGAAATCCCCAGGCTTGACACAAGACCAGCCTGGACAGCCCATAGCAGGCATGTATTGCTTGAAGGATCAGAGGCTCTTCTCTATCTACGTTCATAACAACAATGCCTACAGCGTACAAGCTAAGAATTAGTCTAATGTTGCCAGCTGTGTCCTCTGGACCTCCTGTCGCCTTGAGAGCAAGGCAGCAAGGCACAGGGACAAACTTCATTAAGAGTTACAAGTAACACCAACAGCCTTGTGCTATAGGAGACTACTGTATACACTGAGACCTTCAGGATCAGACTGTGCTGCTCAGACCCAGAATACCATCTCTTCTGTACAGAAGAGAAAGCAATCCAACCTGGAAAACAGTCTAGTCTTCAGAAGATGGAGTAAGTGCTGTAATCTCACGAG